GAGGACAAATCCCTCCATTGGCTCCATGGGTGTGGGGGCTCGCGAACCCGCTCGTCAACCCCCTCAAGCCAGGCGCCGCCTTCACCGCCAAGGAAGCCTCGAGAAGGCTCACCCGTGGAGGTCGGTCTAGTCCCTGGCGGTCAGACGCCAGGGCATCAGAGACGTCAGGAGGCGCCCACAGCTCCCCCGACTCCACGACAAGCCGAGGTCCATCCACGTTGCAACAGGGCCCTCCTCGACTCCGGTGCACGAAGACCATGGACTAAAACCCTTGATAAACAATTTTGGTGTGCAGAAAAGTTGTATTGAGTAAGACGACAAAGCCAGCTAAGAGGTTAATTTGAAGAAATTTGTTTGCAGTAGGTAAGGTTTTCGCGAAGCAAAGCACATGAAGAAACGTAATAATAAGAGGGAGCCATGGAATATAAGTCATGTTGGGTGTAAAGTCAAAATGGCTATTGCATGAGACAAGAAATCAGGATGGTGGTATGTGAAAGATTTTATTGATGAGCATGACCATCCTTTGGCCACAAGAGGTCTTGCTTGTCTGTTGCATTTGTACAAAAGAATCAACCATATAGAAATTTCTAGATCTGAAAACACCAAATCGTGGATATTTTGGTAGGCAATATGGTGGGTATGTGACGGTGTGATCCATCACCTGAAGGCGCGTCAAGATAGAAATCCTAAATTTTTCTTCAAGCATTTGGTTGATGAGGACGACCATTTGAAGGTATTGTTCTGGTTTGATAGTCAATCCGCCTCGACTATGAAGCTTTTGGTGATGTTGTTCTCTTTGGAAGCACTTATAGATCTAATCAATACAATTTACCCTTTATGCATTTTGTTGGGTTGAATCACCATCGATGCACTATTATCTTTTTTGATGTGGAACTATTTCTCATGAAACAAGTGAGGTTTATGAGTAATGTTGTGAACTTTTCATGCTGCCATGTCCCAGAAGCTTTTGATATCTGTGATCACTGATGGAGTCCTTGCGATATTAGGGTGTTTGGCCAAATTCTAATAATATGATGGGCGAATGGCATACTGAACACAACATATATAGTACATAGTTTGCATGATGATACGGTCTTAGGAAGAATTTAGGACATTTCTATATGATTATTGTTCTATATAGAAGAGCCTGAAAAGAAATGGATAGAGTTCTTGAGTTCTTACAGAGAGGATCTAATAAATTTACTAGAGAGGAGTCATGGTTGCATCAGATGTATTAGATGAGGAACCTACATTTCAAGTGAGGTATTGTTTTCTTGGGATTGAGGAATAATTGGCGGAGTGAGGGCCTAAACTCAACATTGCATTGCATAGGCATCTTGATGGTAAAATATCACTATATACATGCTACAACACTATGAGCATTGCCTATTAGGAGTGTGCATAAATGAGCTGAAACTGGACATTGTAGCATTGTAGTCGATTTCATTTAGAGAGTTAGATGGTACAAAACTTGACAAAGATGTTGCACAAGTGTTCACTCCTACAATATCTAAGTTGCATTGGTTAAATGGAGCATAGATGATGTAAGCAATTATGTAGCCAACAAGATACTGGATAGGCATGATTCGACTTCGTACATTGTGGCTAATAAGGACATAAGAGAGATGAAGTTCCATGTGAATTGTGAGTTATATGGTGCTGATTGATCCGGCTAAAAAGGATGTTACAAGTCTGTTGAAGCCCTAGGCCATCCGGCTTTTATCTATATACAACAATCATCAAATATTTTCCTAACAACCTCAACAAGAGTACAATAGAAAATAAAATTTACATAAACAACATGGATTGACACAAACTACCACAACACGTATCTTTCAACTAGACACAGGTGAGCTTTAAACAAGTGAGGAGAGGAGCGTAAGCATGTCAAAATATAATGTTTCATTACAGATATTAGCTAGAGCAAGAACATTTAGTACAACAATCAAAGTGAACAACAATACATAAACACCTTGTCTTTCATGCCAATTTACTTGACTAGTATAGTGCCCGTGCTAACGCCACAGCTTTATTTTAGGGATGCACATGAAGATAACCAAACTACGGTGGTACTTCATCACATAAATAGAGTATATCAAGACAATTAAGAGAGATTCCAATTCATTGCATCATTTTAGTATATTATAGAAATTTGTCCTATACATACGCCATTCAGATAATGTGTATTATACAGCTAAATTTAACAAAAAAAACAACAGAAACATTTAGCCAGCTATAAAACATAAATTCTCAATTCTAGCTACCGCTATCGATATGCCAATGTTGTCTTCTTGCTTTAGGTGATGTCCAGACATCAAAAACATTCGATTGACCTTTTGGACCTGCAATGGCTATATACTCTATCAATACTACAGATTAGTGAAAACAGAATGAAGTTGAATTAAGAACGACAAGCTTAGAAGCTTAGACAAAAGGTAGACGTCTACATTTAAGGGGACCTTATTCTTTGAACACACCAATAATTATATCAACATAGGTTGCATAAGTTTCAGTCTACTGCGTAAGAACAGAAGTTAAGGCAGTGTGATTACTAATGTAGGTATGGAGTCAGTTCCAAGCATGAAAAAACGAAGCTGAGTCGAAAAAATAACTATTTATACATTTGTGAAAGAAATGCTGAATCTGTTAGTCGCTGAATTCTCACTCTTGGTAGTAGGAGAATTCTTACTCTCATCGAGAGAGGATGACACTAGGAGTTGGGGCAATTTTCTTGTCTATTTCTCACACAAGCTCACACAAATGCCATACCAACCTGAGGGGTTGGGGTTACATATTTATAGGCTGCTAGCCAGCCAAGCATATGCCAAGATGCTAGTCTAAGATGCTAATATGCTGTCCTAGCTAAGATGCTGTCCTCTAGTCTAAGATGCTGTCCTCTAAGATGCTGTCCTCTAGTCTAAGATGCTGTCCTAAAAACAGAAAAACAGCCACAAGGACCATGTGAGCAACAACAGCCCCACAAAGACCAGCCACACATGACTTATCCATCAGAATCATGTGTTGAGTATATTAATATAAATAACATGACAATATTTATGGATAACTGATCTCCTGCTATACCCTTATCAGTTACAAATTAAGAAAGATGGAATGCAGAATAAAAGGAATATATTCTTGCAAAAAGAAAAACAGGTTGTCAGCTTCATTATGTCATAGTAAGTTAGGAAAAAAGGAATTTCTCTTACCAGATCTCTCCTACAAACTGTGTGCAGTTCTAACTATATGAAGTAATGAAGAATATGATTTGCTTCTTGCAATTGCACATAGTAGCAGGTAGTTTTGGTTGCTTTCAAATTTTAGTCTTACAAAATAAATAATTCAAAGAATCTTTGGTAATGGAAGTGAGACAGATTAATATTTACATCAGTTCAAATTCCAAAGGTTACCAAGGGAGAAAAAGACAAAGAAAAAATCCATCCGACCATATGATAGGGTTGTTAGCTAGCACCCATCTCTTGGCGCTTCGCAACCAAGGTGCATTCAACACAGATCCATTCATCCATATCCCGAACATGAGTCCTAAGTCCTAAAGAAAGTCCAGTTACTCTCAAACCAATCCCATGTTTATTTACTCACCGATGTCCGATAAAGCTCCATGCACCTGAACTCCATCTTGCTCTGCGCACCCGGCAAGCACACACATGCCTGCTGTATTTCCTGTGGCCTGCTGTATTTCCATGCTGCTGGTTCCATTGGCTGCTCCATCTTGCATCTTGTGGACAAATTAGTCGTATTGAGGAAGCACAACAGACATCATCGACCTAAAAAAAGAATGAAAGCATGAATCAGTTGTTTAGAAAAAAAAACACAACCACAAGATGCAAGCAACCATAGGCAACCTCTACTGTAAAAAAATTAAATCACCGCAACAGAGAAGATTTAAAAAAAAAAATACATCAGAAACATTTAGCCAGCTTTTAAAACATAAATTGTCAAACTGCCGTGTTCTCTTTTCCTTGAGCCGGTTTCCGCACAGGGAAAAAAAGGAACAATCCTAGGCAATAAAAATAAAATTTTCTTACTTCTAAATTGGTATTAACATATTGGCAAATAACGTCCATTTTTCTTTCTCTGGATTTATCATAAGATTTTAAATTTAACTCATAGAAGTGCAGAACTATTAGAATCATAGTTAGTTATCAGGTTGGCTTGTCAATTTTGTGGCGAACACTGCTGTAGCAACAGGAGCACCTGCAACAAGTTCTGGCAATTAGAATGCCAAGATGTAGCCAGGTATACATGAAATGGAAAGAGGCCCATTGAGGCTATTGCGTGGCAGTTCTGGGATGCCATGTTAAACAGGCGCAGTATAAAAGTAGGCAAACAAAAGAATGACAATGGAAAAGTAGCTAAACAAAAGAATGACAATGGGCAATTTATACAGCAAGAACTTCAACATTGTAGATCTGGAAACAAAACAACGACATTTTTCCTCGGCTTGCTCCTTAAGCCATACTGATCACGAACCATACTTTTCAGTTTTCACACATCAGAAAAAAATAACCCAAACAAACAACCTATCTTGGCCCTTTCCACGATGACCTCAATTAATTAGGAAGCAATATTGGTCTATTGTTCCCTTTAAATAAAGCAAAATTATATTCATGAGAAAGTACATAGCATGGATGATGTCGATGTCAATACATATTATATTGTGATTTTTTTTTGGCGAGCCAAAAATAAGTTAGCCCTGAAATACAGTTCAAAACTGAAGGATTTTGCATCCTAACCTTGCTCGCAACTGTTCCATTGTTGTTTCAAGCATCATTAGAATATCAAGCTAGCGCTGAGCGAAACGAATAAGCTTGTATCTACATCCTCTAGGTACCTTCGGTTAAATAGAATAGTATATTCATCTGCTCTATGCCTGGTAAATTATTTGCTGGAATAATCATGTTGGTGTGACAAAGAACAAAAAAAGGCATCGGTGGTTTACCTCTTGACCTGGTGACACAAGAACTTTGCTGGTCAGGATGTTTTCACCTTTCTAATGAAGTAGCTATCGCTTCATGAGTTCTCTACAAAATAAACACCAAGACAAATAAAAATACAAAATCTAAGAAATCTAAGAAATTGGAACAAATAATTCAGTCGGACATTATCTAATTAAATTATATAGATTATTTAACGTAAGTAATAAATGGATACATCACAGACCTTGAGTTGCTTTGTTTACAGTTTAGTTTCTTTAGCCGCCAGATTAGCATTTACATACCTTCGGCTTGGCCTTGCGAAGTTCAGAATTGGGGTTGGGCGCTGCAATGCGCTGCCGTATGTTGTGATTTAGCCACTCCACCTCAGCGGCAACATGAAGAGATGACAGAGGTGTCGATGCCCAGCCCTAGTGCCTGCAATTGCAGCACGCAAACCGGAAGAGCGGTTAGATTTTGGTAGGGAAATAGAGGCTAGAGGAGTGGTTCTCATGCATGCCGTGTAATTGCGCCCAATCTGCCCGGGTGGCCGACCGCAGGTGGCGCTCGAGGTCGGGGAAAAAAGGAAAGCGCCAGAAGGGGAGAGGTGCTCACCAGTGTCGGGATCGCGTGCTGCCGCGTCCTGTGCGACCGACAGATCGACAGGGGATCAGGAACACGACATAATCGGTAACGGATGTGGTGATGGAGGGGCACCAGAGATCCGTACCTTGGCAGCTTTGGGGGCTGCGACGAGGCGACCTCGTCAGTCGCTCCTATACCAGCCGTCGTGTCCTCCGTGGGCACCGACGCTGATGAGCTCGGCCGCGCGGATCCAGACGGAGTCCGTGTCGACGAGCCCCGCGTGGTCCGGCACGGAGATGGCGAGCGCGAGGCGCATCTGGTGGTAGTCTACCTCCAGCCGCGTCGTAGCCGCCTCCACCCCGAGCCCCCTGGGCTCCTCCACCGCGAGGGCGACCAACACAGCCACGGCGGGAGTAACCACCGGCTGTGTACAGCGGTGTCCACCGCCAGTACAACATCCCTATGACGGCGCGAGCGCTGGGAGGAGGGGGCGCTGGCGGCGGCGGCGGCGTGGGGGCGAGCCAGCGGGCAGCCGCTGCGATGGGGCAGGAGGAGGGAGTCACGCGACGCGATGGGGCAGGGAGGGGAGAGGAGGAGTCGGAGTCGCGTGGGGAAGAGAGAGAGTCGCGCGTGCGGGAGAGGGGGCGTCGGGGGAGAAGGAGAGCCGCGCGTGCGGCGATCTGCGCTGCCGCGCCCAGTGCCGTGCCCCTCGTGGTCGTTGTGCCCTCTGCAGTGTGCCGTCTCCCTCACGGTCGCCGCTTCCTACGCCGTCGGCCTAGGCTTCAAATGATCGCGGACGGGGGCAACCGAAATCAAACGCGAGCCTGATCTGCAGACGTATGCGCATGGGAGGTCCGTGGAGGGCGATGAAAGACAGACACATTAAACATGAGCCGTTGGATTTGGATGAATAATAAGAGAGAATAACTCAGAGATAATCTGGTGCATCCGTTTTGATGATGTTATATTTTCTAGATGTATTCATAGGTGTGGATGTAACATAGGTCACGAATATGGAGCAGCATTTATTGTGTGGTTGTAGATTTATTCTAACGGGTGTATTATAGCGTAGGATGGATAGATACAGTAGAGGTGAGACCGTGAGCTCACAACTTCAATTTCACCAGTCTCTTGAGCCTTTTTATGCGATCTCATATGCTGATGGTAGCAGCCTGGGCACTGGATGAGCCATTAACGGCACGGCCCGCTGTAGCAGCAAGGTGAAGGCCTCCTCCATGTTCAGCTTGTCTGGTGTCTGTCCTGCCGGCAACTCCCAATCAAATGCGTGCACCAGAGTGGCGCTAGTTAGTGTGACCATCCGCAGCCCCCAGCTGAGGCCGGCGCATATCCTCCGACCAGCGCCGAATGGTATAAGCCCGAAGTCGCCTCCTTTAACACCCACATCCGAATGCGAGCCACCTGGCAGGAACCTGGCAGGGCGGAACTCCAGCGGGTCAGGCCACAGGGCCGGGTCGCGGGCAATGCCCCACACATTGACTAGCAGCTCGCAGGCCTTGGGGATGCGGTAGCCGGCAACCTCACACTCCTCGGCAGCCATGCGAGGAAGGGAGAGGGGCGTCGATGGGTGCAGACGGAACGTCTCCTTAATGACCGCGTTGAAGAAGGTGAGGTGTCGGAGGTCTGACTCGGTGACCAACCTTCCGCGGCCCACGACAGCGTCCAGCTCCTCTTGTGCCTGCCTGAGGATGTCCGGGTGGCGGATCAGCTCGGCCAGCGACCACTCCACTATGGTCGATGTGGTGTCGGTCCCTGCTACGAACAGGTTCTGGCGTGTCCGGGAGTCATGCACGAACAATAGACACGATGAGCAACTAGGTATTATATACTCTCTTAGCTTCATTAGAAGTTATGAGTAGTTTTAGCTTTGTACTAAGTTTTTGACCAAATTTATAGAAAAATATACAAAAATCTTCAACATCACATAAGATTTATTAATGTGAATTATATTTAGCCAGTCCATCTATTTTATAGTGTAGATATTAGTATATTTTTTTCTATAAACACGGTCAAATAAACAAGTTTGACAGTACAAAATAAAAGCGACTTGCAATTTCATGAAGGGAGTACATAATAATGGCAGAAAAAAGAAAACATATGGTATGCCGCGTTATCTACTTGTCACATCGCTATATATTGGGTTCGGATGTTGCAATCAGATCAGGTGAAGCTCGATTATAGGCCATTTATCATCGACAGACGAAAGCAGTAGCTAGCTGGTCATTTTGGTACCGTGAAATAGACACTGAACAACTCTCTGATGCGCACCTATATCCTTCAGAGGTGCAAGAGGCACAAGTTAGCACGACTGGGATTTTCGCTTCGTCTATTTTGATTAATAAAATGACTAGAGCTGATATTCACCCTGTTCACCTATTGGTTTTAGCCAGGCTTATTCAACCAGCCAACAGTGTTTTTCTTTAAAAAAACCAGCACCAGCCAATCCAAACCAGCATCAGCACCAGCACCAATCAGCGAACACGCCGATTGATTATTTAGCAAAAGTCACATTTCATAAGAAACAAAGTCTATTTCATACGACTTTTTAACCAAAACACGACATCGATTATCATTCCTAACGAAGGCAGTCACATCCACATCATGTGTTTATAATGATAATACGGTTTTAACACAGAAGAGTTCTCGGCCCTCTCGAGGCCATCGTCAGGCTATTGTCATTGTGCGTGAAGCAGTACTGTCTTGTACCCCCTCCGTTCCAAAATGATAAACGCAGAAGTGTTCTCGGCCTCTAGAAATTAGGCTATTGTTATGGTGCATGTGCATGAGTGATACTGTCTATTACCCCCTTTATCCTAGAATTTACAATCTTGACTAATAATTAGTCAAATTTGAGACTAGTTCAGGACATAAAATCTGTATCAATAGATTTTTATTCAAAATAACGCTGAGATGATATTGATTCTTTAGTAAATGATAACATATTGTAAAAGAAATTAAGAGGGAAAAGAGTTACAAGTTTATAAAACACTTAGCTGGCAATAAACTTTTTTTCACGAATTTATAAACTTCAATTATTCCATACACACACACACGTACCGTGCGTTTTTAAGTACCCTGTACCGTACCCGTGACTTTATTCTGCCGTACATATAGCTAGGCATATCTAACCATTTATTTATATTTAAATCGCCGATGAGGTTCACGTTACTAGCTATAAGATTTTTTTTAGCTTCGACTATTTGTGGCCAAAAGGCTAACACATGGTTCGATTGGAAACGATTGAAAACGAGGACAACTTACCAAAATAAGTGCCTTGACATCGGTTTCGGTGATCCTGACTTCGTCGCCGCCGGCGGACGGCCGCTCGTCCTCCACCATCGACAGCAGCAAGCCCAGCAAATCCTTGCTTTCCTCTCCGGCGGCTGGCGTAGCCCTGGCCTTCCTACTATCTGCAATGATCCCATTCATCATGTCGTCGAACCGGCGGTGCAGCTTCTTCATCCTGCCCACCACGCCCTGCGGGTCGAGCCACCGGAGCGCCGGCACGAAGTCACCGACGTTGAGCACCCCGCCCACCTCGAGCACCTCGAGCACGATCTCGTTGAACTCCCTCGCGCCCTCGTCGCCGGCGCCGGCGGCAGCGAACACCCGCCGCCCAACGGCCGCCCGCGACAGCGCGTTAGTCGTACACACGTTCACGGCCTTGCCGAGCGCCACCGGCGCCGGCGCCGGCGCCGGCGCACTATTATCGCGGTAGTCGCGGGACTGCTCCGCGAGGAGCGACCTCACCATGAGCGCGGCTTCACGCTCCCGGACGTCGCGGACGTCGTCGAGCGCGCGCGCGGAGAAGAGGTTGACGGCGCACACCTTGCGCATCGCGCGCCACCGGGGCCCGTAGGGCGCGAACACGACGTCCTGGTAGTTGTACGCCATGAGCTCGCCGCCGGAGTTGGGCGGGCGGCATCTGAAGTTGGCGTCGTGGACGCGGAGGAACTGCTCCGCCACAGCCGCCGACCCGGCCACCACCACGTCGGAGCTGCCGAACCGCAGCCGCAGCAGCGGGCCGTACACCTTGGTCATCTCGTGCAGCGTCTGGTGCGTCTTCCCGCCCAGCTGAGGCAGGTTGCCCAGCACGGGCCAGCCCCTCGGCCCCGGCGGCAGCGGCGCTCGCCTCCCCTCCTGCTGCTTCCAGAAGAGGACATAGCATAAGGCCACGGACACTACTGTCGTCAAGGTGGCGAGCAGCAGCGGGGTTGGGAGATCAGGTGTAGTGAGCACGAGCTCCATGATGGGTTCGATCGCTTGACGACGTGCGTTGCGTGCAGCGCGGGAAATAAAAGGCACGGGCATGGGCATGTAGCAGGTGTCAAGTCATTGCCTTTACCTACTACTGGTACTGCATGCTCACTGCCTCACCTACTACGATATAAAATAATCAGCTTTCTCAAAATTTGCATTACTGTGTCACAAGTTCTAATCTCGGCTTACTCTCTTTTCTGTCTTTTTTTAGTATAATTTAACAGCAGGTGAGGGTTGTGAACTTGTGATGGATATGCTTCCAAGTGTATACTGGCTAGCCAGAGTCTAGTGATGTTCATGCATTCATCTCACTCACATACCTTTCCAATGCTGTTTTTAACTTTATTATTGTTCTGCCCTCCAACGGTCCAACCTACTGCGAACATAGTTCTCTAAGAAAATTTCTGAGTCCATGTACAAGCATGGTGGGCCGGCTGTTGTTTTGTCTATTAATTGTTTCGTCCCTCTGTCCCTTGGACGAAACAATTGTGTACTCACATACATTTCTGTTAGATGCTGTTGAAATATATGCATGTTTGTGATATATTAAAAAAACTCTTGCAATTTGTATGGTACAGATTAACCCTTGGTCCCTTTCATGATTTCTAATTTCATTTAGGCCTATTGCTGTTGTTTCATTTGTCTTGGATATTTGTTTACTTAACATCTTTTAGATTGTTAGGTTGGTGTAGGCTTCTAACTAATAATTCCCTATTTGCATTATCATCTTATTTAAGGTAATCATACTAGTTATTTTTACTATTATTTTAGCTTCATCTATTGTACTATTGGCATTTTGTTTTTATATTCTAAAGTAAACTACAAGTTAACTTTTTTCTTAGACGAGAGCATTTTGCAAGATGGGCCGGCAAAAAGCTCCATTGAGTTCGCACCTAGATTATGTGCTCAATAGCATCCCACTGGGACCATATTGGCTTCGTAGGCGACGGGCATGTCGTAATCCCTTTGTGGCTCCATGCGAGAGAGGCTACAGACGAAGACGGTGAATAAATCCCCGAGGTGAGGCCCCTGGGTTGATTGCAAGAATCGAACCGGCCGCTCGTACCATAGCAAGCGTGCCAACCGAGCTATGCTTTTTTTTTTTGCTTCCTAGCAAAGTCGAAATATTCATTTCCGGTAGTTATTTGTCAAATTCATTCCAAGCCACGTTGACTTTATTTGTAAAGGAATATAACCAGTTTGCCATATTCTAGTTGTAAGTTTAGCGATTGTTTTTTGAAGTGTAACTTTAGTGATTTGTAAAGGAATATAACCAGTTTGCCATATTCTAGTTGTAATTTTAGCGATTGTTTTTTGAAGTGTAACTTTAGTGATTGTAAATTGTAATGATATCCTAATTAAATGAACAGCTGGTACATATGATCCTTTGGGTTCTAAACAACAATATAGAAGAACAATGATCAAGATCGGAGAAGGAACGAGGATTATACAATAAAGATTTACTACCCAATCCCTTGATGAAAGCCATCGTATCATCGGGCTTGCTAGCGTCCGGACGTAGCGTCTGGACGCTGCCGCACAGAGGGAGCAAAAGAGCGCATAGCACGTCGGGCTCGCGAAGGAGCGCACCAGCAATGGATCCACATCGCCCCGGACATCGCCCACGTCACCCCGAACATCGTCCGCACCGTCGGTCGCTTCCCACGACGCATCCCATATGCAACACCCGATCTATTTTTGAAACATCCAGATGCAACAGTTGCAACATACAAAAGAAGAGAAATGAAACACTTGAAACAAGCGTCTGAAACACTTGCGAAAACACCTGAAAAACATTTGAAAACCATCGCAAACATATGCAACATTCGGATGAAACACTCGCAAACGTACGTATAAAATACCTGAAACTTGAAACATATGCTTGCAACATGCATGTATATGCAACATCCAGATCTACTTTTGCAATATCCAGATAAAACACTTGCAACATTCATCTGGAATAGATGAAATATTTGGAACATATACTTGAAACATACGTGTATAGCCAGTACAACATGTGCAACATCCCGATCTACTTTTACAACATCGATATACAATACTTGCAACATACCTCTGAAATAACTGAAACACTTAAAACATACTATTGCAACATGCGCTTTTAGCGTAGCATATGCTTGATGCTTGGACGAATGGAGGCTCGTTGATGCGGAGCTCGATACCGCAAAGTGGTACGGGGGTCACCGGTATGGAGCTCGTCGGCGCTACAGATGTCAGCAGGGTAGGGGCAGGGACAAGCGGATGGAGCGTGGCCATGATGGGAGGCATGAGTTCGAGCGGGGCACGCGGCGTGGTTGGGTGCACTGGTGGGGCCGCGCGACGCCAGTGGGGGTGACGTGTCCGAAGGTAGGGTCTGTCCCAGGGCAGAGGCGTGCAGCGCGCTGAATGAGCCGGCAACACGAGCGGGGGCGAGGCGCAAAGCAAGCCGACGACTTATACGGGGTCCGTCCGCATGGACGGACGATCTATAAGCAATATTACCATCGAATCATCGGCAAGAGACAAGAAGTTAACACCAGATCCTATAATACTCTGAGGAGTACGCGAAGTGTCCAAGATGGAAATCAAGTTAAAAGACAACAGGACCAACGTGTCGCTAGAGCCATTCAGAAGCGGATCGTTGGCGTTACACAAAGGCGTGCACAAGGACTGGAAAGACCTAGGTGAACAGATGCCTGTGACTAATGTACCGCGGACACATGAATGGTTGTGAGCAGGGATGAAAACGGTCAGAAACGGTCAATCATTTTCTACTTTTACATTTAAATACAAAAATGAAAACGAAAATGATAAAGCTGGACACGAAAACGAACATGAACTTACGAAATATCGAGAATTTCAAAAATAAACTAATTCGAACGGAATTATATGGAACACGGCCGGTATACAAAAATCAATACGGAATATTGACTCGTAGGACCAAGTGCATACTTCCTTCGTCCCAGAAAGAAAGTAGTTATGTGATGCGTGTAGGTCAAACTTTCTCAACTTTGACTAAATTTATAGAAAATACGTGCAACATTTATATCTTCAAATAAGTTTATTATGAAAGTATCTTCAACGATCTATCTAATGATACTAATTATATATTATAAATATTAATATTCTTTTATATATAATTAGTCAAAATTAAAAAAAGATTGACTTCTCGAGAAACGAGAACGACTTCTATTTTAGATGGAGGAAGTAACAATTAACAAGTGCAAAACCATGTGAATAACAATTAACAAGCCCTAGAACTTTCATAAAAAATATCTCCATTTGATACTATATAAGAAAGATATGATTTTTCTAATTCAACACGTGCTTGTACGTGATTAATATACTGCCAAAACTTTGTTTACTTTTTTTAAACATCATAAAGAGCTCAAATGAAAAAACTAAAAACTAACAAGTTGTAGATCTCACTGAGAGCTAAAATTTTCATATAAAAATCATCTTCATCCGAGATATAAAAAAGATACAATTTTTCTAAGGCCAAATTCGGTTTAAACCGAATTTTGAATTCGGGATATTCCGAATTAAAAGTAGAAAACAGTCGGAAAATGTCTAAACCGTTTTTTGTTTCAATTTTGAATTTGATGTTCCGAAATTCGAACTGAATTTGAATTTGTCCGAAAATATAAATTGGATCGAATCAAATATAGAAAACGAAGCGGCTCGGTTAATCCTAGCTGTGACGCGCGTCAATACATTGCATGGCATGCCATCGGTAGACAGTTTAACGGGCAGAGCAGGCGTGTGCTTCAGCACGTGCCGGTGGTGCTTACGTAGTTACGTTACGTGGTTTTCGGTCGCAAGGAAATTGTGTCGAATCTGGGAAGAAAACCAAATATTGCAAAAGCATGAGGCAAGCATAACGCGGCAAAGGATATAAAGAGGTAGCTGAACCTTTAATCGTGGACGTTTCCTAACCATATGGGTCCTTGGCGTTTTCTAGTTTCCTGTACGATGACTGTATCCATCCGACAAATATAGGTTTGGTCAAGATGTGCTTTTCAGGAGTACCAAAAGCAAGCGTAACGTCGTTACGAACATAAAGGCCCAAGGTATGGAATCCTAGGAAGAGGCTAGCCCAACTTAAATGAGATATGATAGCTTCTTTATGATCTAACATTCATGCCAATACATTATCTTTATTCTGTTCCGGATTGTAATCCCTAATAAAAAAATAGCTCCATGAGCAAAAGCCCCTGTCATGATGAACCATGTAGTGTATTGGTGATGAGTATATAAAGCAGCTTGAGTAGTAAAGCCTTATGCTATGAATGCATAAGCAGGTAAAGAGTATATATGTTGAGCTACTAAGGAAGTAATAACCCCTAAGGAAGCTAGAGCAAGGCCTAATTGAAAATGAATCGAATTATTAATTGTATCGTAAAGTTCTGATTAGTTAAAAAATACATGAGTCCCCAGACATAGGGCACATTATTTGGTTGGTCTTTGGTCTTTGGTTTAAATTTGTTGGTCTTTGATTTTTTGTGAGAGAAAAACACCGTTGGTTGTTGGTTTGAAATTTGGTTGAAACCAACAATGTTTAACAGTGATAACACGATTCCCCCCGACAGAACATGATTCCTCTTTTTTTTAGAATTACACGGTACAACGTTGACGCTCACAACATGCACGCGCACTCACCCCTATGAATACACGTACGTAGACCCTACCCCTATAAGCACCTTCAAATGACTGAGCCGGTAGATCTCGAGATTCACGAAGTCACTACAGGCGTCTCGCTGTCAACGGGGACGCCGCCTACCACTGAACGCATAGAGCACCTTCAAAGGACTGAGCCAGCAGATCTCGAGATTCACGAAGTCACCGTAGACGCCTCACCGTCAACGAAAACATCGTCTACCACTGAAAGTATAACACCGTTAAATACTAGAAGAAATCTAAAAAGATACGAGCACTCATGTCAAATCATGAACCGAACCTTAGGCAGGTTCCACGAGCCAACCAACTGATCT